GTCGCACCTACCATCCATTGTTGGTATCTGACAACTTGTTAGTGGAGTCCAGGCCTGCCACACGCACCCCCACCCCGGTCACCAACTCGACCCCCACCCTATCCGAGACAGACCCAGTAAAGGACGCCGAACCTGTGTGATTTGTGTTGTTTCTTGCCTCCCCCCGCCTGCCTGAATTTTCCCAAGATATAATAACAGTTTTAATTTTCCTCATTCTCTTTAAGAGAAGATGAAAACTAATCTAAGGTTTCGCAATCACAAGCTGCTCAAAAATCTGATCACTCCCTCAGTTTTGCCTCACTAACCCATGGCCACCTTGTCAATTTAAGCGCCCGATAAAGTGAATGCCACAGAGGTTGTGAAATGTCTTGCAGTGCTGTAAAGTGGACAGTTTGACGCCTGCTACTTTCCCCTCTGTTTTAACAGTTTGGTAAACAGTCTAGGACTGTGTCTTAACTGCCTGTGGGTTTTTTGTTTGCTTTGTTTTTTTGTTAAACATTTTTCAGTACTGCTGTCACTTTCCAAGCATGTACAAACACAGAAATCTTGAGTATTGCTACATATTCATATATATTTGCAACCAATTTAGCAATTCTCTTTTGAGCCTGTTTACACCACTTGAGCATATTTCAGAGGCTCTTCTGAAACCCTGGTCCCTCGTCTACCCGTGCGTGACGGTTTAACGCCTTGTGAACTTGAGCGCACATCAAAGAGCGTTTGAAACCTATCCGATAGCTCCCTTTGCAGCCCTTGCAAATCGCCTAAAAAGCTGTGTTAGTACAAGGCAGCCGGGCCTGTCAAGGCTGGGAAGCTGTAGCATTCAACGTACCCTCGTCTCAGTTTCTGTCAGAATAAAATAGCACCAAATATTAACCAAATGTGATTAAAAAATACTAGAAATGTTTATTTATTTATTGTGCACATGTAGCCACCTCATGCACGGTATGACATTCAGCCTCTAGCTCTTGTTGGGTCACCGAAGCCCAGCAAGTAGCACCAGAGCAGTCTAGACTTGAGGTCCTGCTATGACCTGCCACAGTGAACAAGATGAAAGCAAGCTCATTATTGTGATTCTAAGGTCATGCACATCCTTTAGCTGATGTAACTCAAGCAAATGAGCTCTTTGGGGTTTTTTTTTTTTTAACTATGCCACTCCACCTCAGCTTTGTGCAGTTAGAAACAAATGCAAACTATTCAGTAATTACTGTGCTTAAAACATGGAAATGAACCTTGACGTTCCTGAAATAGGCTGTCTTATGTAGCTCACAGTGAGAGTGTAACCAAGAAACAAGGCCAGTGAAAATTTCTATTTGTTTCAAGCAAGTTAATGAGGATGCCGTGTTTAACAACTGATATGTGGTTTATGCGTTTGCTCCTGGCACCGTCCTTTGTGGTGCGGTTTAATGCTTCATTGTGGTTCCATGATATTATTACGTGCCTCTGCTCCTGATTAAAATCAGAATCATGGCATTGATGGGAAAATAAAGACGGTGTTTTCAGATTAACAGGGCCGGTACTGAAAATGAAGCCCGTCGCAATCAGGAATGAGCGGGGTCTTTTTTTGTCTTTTTCCTTAGATTTTAAGTTTTTAAGGGAACAAAACTCTCTGCAACACCTTGTCAGGCACGACGTGAACTACAACAGACCTGCGCCCCTTGCAGATGACGGTTAATTTTCATCAGCTTCATTAATTTTAAAGATGAATTTATAGCCATGGACAAAATAGCCAATTATCAGCCACAGCAGAATTCAGTGGGCAGCAAATTGCTTTCTATATGGGCAGAGAGCCCAAGGAGGGAGTCGCTGTCTGTCATTCTCCAGCCAGAAAACCACAGAGACAGCAGAGGAAGCAGAGTTATTTAGCTCAAGGATGATGCGAATTTGAGAAATGCGTGCACGCAGGTCTGGCTTTAACAGTCCCTCAGCTATGGACTGTGATGCTACATTGCTCATCTGGAGCCATTCGGGACTCAAGGTCCAGTGGAGCTATACAACTTCCATCAGGCTCAGTTGCAGCACTATTCAGCCTGAATTTGCACTTCCTGTGTACACACAGCCTCTGGGGTTTAAATTTGGAGTGTTTGTCTTAAAGCAGATCGGATGTACTGCCTGCTTTTTTTCTAACAATCAACGTGTTACACAGGCTGAAAATTGAATATTGGTCAGTTAGTACTATGCCTCGTTGGCGTGAGGGTTTAAAGATTGAGTTAAACCTTAACATTTCCAAGTGCTCACATTTATTATGTGTGTTGTCAGCTTAAAGCTGACCACTGTATTTAAACCTAAGCATAGGTTTGGTGTAACATTGTTCTACGCTGTCTGACAGTGTGTATCTGTTTCCCCATGCAGGTGACTAAGATGGTGAAGACGGTGACCACTCGGACAGTGCGTCAGGTGCCCCTCGGCCCCGATGGCTTGCCGCTGCCTGAAGGCACGTCCCCGCTGGGCAGCTACACCGATTCCATTGACCGGCGATACCTGAAGAATGGAAGTGACCGCTTCATAACGCCTCAAGCAACCTCAACCCTGACGCGCTCCTACAACAACTCCTACAACGATTCATACGGAGAGACACCGGAGAGCCAGTACATTCGCCATTATGGTCTTCACGATGGCTACACCGATTTGACGGATAACTACGGCAGTCTTTCTCGTGGTGTCAACTACCGGCCGCCGCGGTACCCATACATGCCTAATAGCTACCGGCCGGAGAATAGCTACACCCTGCCTATCAGAAAGGATGATTATGGCCATGTGGCGCAGCCCCAGGTGCCTATGGGCAGCAGCACTGTGGATCTGAACCACTCACAACCAGAACGCTTCCAGCCTGAGCCGTATGGTCTGGAGGATGATCGCCGCAGCTTGGGCCCCGAAGAAGAAGAGCCATATGAGCTGGAGCCTGATTACTCCACTGCCAACCGACGCACCCTGCCAGGGGCCAACCGTGGGCGCACCCACCGGGAACCGCTGCGTGATGGCCCCCGAGTCAGGTGAGGGTTGCTTTTACAAAAGAGTCCTTGGCTAATATTTGACATAGTGAGATTGTAATATACAGCCATTTATACTGCTACTACTGCTTATGGGGAATAATAATTTGGTAAAGGTGTGCAAGTTCATACAGTGTATATATTTTACTTTTTTGCACTAGAATTCTGTTTTGGAGTATTTTATGCTTAAGATACTTTGTGTTAACACAAGTGAACTCTGCAATGAGAGAGTATTTGTCTCATTTACACCATAAAAAAAGACTACATCATAGTAAACAGATGTCTCTTGTCTGTGAGCACCTTGTTTGAGAAAGGAAGCAAAGAAGAAGTTGGTTTTGATTGCCATTTTCCTCCAAGTAGATAGTGAACATGTTTTTCTGTCAGGGGTAAAGAGGTGGGAATGAGAGACATGATGAGGGAGAGTCGGAGAGGACAGCGGGCTTTTGTCAGCTATCTTTCAAAGCCTTTCCTTTTTTTCAGGATCCTTTGTAGAGAGAGGCATAAAACTTGGCTCCGCTGGGCAGAAAAAAGCTTGTCAGCCTCTAACAATAAGATCCCAAAATGGACCCTTGTCTCCTAATAGTTTCCAATCAGTTTGTTGCCGCCCAAAGGAGAACCTGAGAAAAATGTCCACTCTCAAGTAAATCGAAGAGAGGGTTTGAAGTCGACTTGGTGTGTCTTAAAGACTTCTTTTCAATCAGCGATCTGTAGCAGATGGATATTTTCAAGTTCCTACACCTTTCCTCCACCAATCTAAGGGCTAAAATGTTTGGGCCTGAAGCCAAGTCTAAAGACAGGCTGTGGAGGTTTAAGTGCAGCAAAGAGCAAGAGAGGAAAGAGTCTGGATGTGTTTGGTTTTAGTTGTATTTAAAGAGGCTCTCCATGACTTCCAGGACATCATTGTTATTAATGACATCCACGTCCAGAAGGTTAGCCGAAGTTGAGAATTTGAAAGATAACATATTAAATTACTGGCACCATTAGAAATGCAATATGAAGGTGTAACTCAGAATAAAGACGGAGTGGCAACGGCCCCATGCGGCTCATGTCATCGTCAACTCTACACGGATGGTGACAAATATATTTTCTTTTATTGAAAAGTGTTGATCTAAATATAAATCATAAACCTAAATAGCTTAATTACTGCTACATATGATTGTGAGCAGTGTTTAAAACGACACAAAAAGAAGAAAGAGAACGGTTTTGAACATTTTGTTACAGGTCAGGCACGTTAACCCTCACATTAATATCAACAATAGGGGTTTTTAAGTGGAAATATAGGAACTTCCTCTCTCTGGCATTTGTTATGACCATCTTTGACCCTCAGTTAATGGTGTAGAATGATAAAGGTGCACGAGATAGGAAATAATGTCAATTCTTAAAATGTAACCCCACTGGTGACCGTTAAATTGTAAGTGTAATAAGCATAACAATGTGCAAATGTTACATTTGAGTTACATGTGTAAATTTAGCTAATACACGGAAAAATAAATGTTACTTTGTATTTGAAGTAAACATCTGTATGTCAGTTGCCATAGAGACATTATGAATCTTGTACACTAGCTGAAAGATCAGTGTTTCTGCCTCAATATCAGCATGTTGAAACTAAAGTTGACCAATGATACATGCTGCATAACAAAGGTATGGGCTACCTGAAAATTAGTCTGTTTCAGTACAAAGCAACAGTTACTTATTATTGGCCAAAATCAGTATCACTTGTCACTCTACACATATCATTTAATAAGCAATGAGATTAGCAAGCAGGATAAAGTTAGCCATATAGTGGTAACTGAGCTACTCTATTATTAATAGACTAATCTGAAAATTGCCAGACCAGGCCCAGGAGTTTGGAGGAATTAGCAGAGCTGAAGCAGAAAGTTTCTCCTTCTTATTCTCTATGTGAAGTTCTTGGGAGCCAGTCATTCGTTGAACAGTTTGTTAACTTGAATTTTCTAGCTAGTGTTACTCACTGAGAAAGGCACTTGTTCATAGAGTTCAGGACATGACATAGAAATCCTCATTTACATAGAAATCCTCCATAGGCTGCTGAAGGAAACCAAAAGGTCTCATTTCTCAGTAGCAATCCGTCATCCAAAGGCATGAAAAAAGCAGGATAGCACATGTTTTACAGTGATGCAGAAGTCTGCTTTCATCCAGCATCTTAATTAAACTTATGTACACAGACCCACTTGTGCATTTCAGAGCACACTGATGCGGATGAGGCTCCGAAGAACAGATGGCTAATCAGAATATCTGTCTTTACACACTTTTGACTTAGCTCTGACAATTACACACA